TGTACTTCACACTACTCTCACTGGCTTGGATGTGGCAAAAACTTACTTTCAGAGCCTGATTTACTCAGAACATGCTGAAACTGCTCACTGCACTCACATTCTCCAAAATAGCTACATCTTGACTCTGAGGAGAGGCCTACAAATAATCCTACTGCACAAATTAACACATATCAGACTCTTGCAAAATAGTGCATTTTTCCTTCCAGTAAACTTCCTGTTTAAAGTGCATTGAAGGAATTGAAAACCACATATTGGTGTCAGTTGATACCAATACAGGTCCTTACAACAATATAAATATAAGTAACTTACCTTGGAATCCCACAGTGAAAGAAATATAAAGTCTTCAAAAAAATTTTAAGAATTAAGGGAAAAATGATGCTACTGTCATTTAACTTTCTTTTTCTTCCTGGAATTTTTTCTCACAGTTTTTGGGGGTTGGTGGTTGGGGTTAATACTGGCCTCCATAATGCTATTTACCCTCTAGATTTTCACTATGAAATTTTGTTTATATAGCTTTGGTCCTCCAAATATAAATGGAGGGGCTGTATTACTTACACTGTATTGCTTTACACCTGCCAGACTGTGAAGGGAAGCACCTCTTATGCTCCCCTCTTAGCAATAATCTGCTGCAAACTTTCTGTCTCATAGCTCTGCAGTTCTGTAAGACTTCTACAACTTCTATCATCCTTGGCTGTATCCATATCATCAGTAGATAGTATACTACACCTTAGCTTCTCAACACTACAGTTGCCATTTTCCTAATCTGTTATTCAATGCTAGGATTAAATAAACCAGGGGTAAAATTTTGTCAGCTGTATTGCAGCTGAAAACAGTGCTAGACAAAGGACACCTATTTATTCTAGTTCAGTCAAGCTCTATTGGCAAGTCTCAGGAAGACAAGGAAAAACTAACCAAAATTTCTTTGCTCCTTAATCATTTGGGTCAGCAAAAGTTCTGGAATCCAGTGTGCAAAATCCATTATCTAATTCCTAAACAGATGTCTTGGAAGCTTTTGGGATTTGGTGAAAAAGATTCTCCCAGGAAATGTCCTGTAGTATCTATGGGAAAATGTCCCAGATGGCCAATGTGTGTCTCTTACACAACCTGTGGGGTAATTTCTTCCATTCTGGCCTTCCCTCCACTTCCAATAGCACAAGAGAGACAGGAATGTCAGGCTTTGGATGAAGCAGATAAATATACACTGTATAGTCTGACATTCTTACATGGCACACAGACAATGTATTACAGCACATGATATGCTGTGGCCAGATTACATACTGGAGGTAAGCAAGAGAGTGGAAGAAGACAGAATCCTGTGCATATCAAAAAGCTGAGTTCATTCAAATTTCTGCAGAACCAACAACCATTTGAAGGAGATGAGTCCATTTTATAGAAGGACAACCAGACTCCAGTTCTGATGGCAACCTCTGCAAGTTCAGGTCATCACAGAAAACTGGGGTTAGGTTTGCCACCTTGCTCACCTTCATTATTTTCACAGTTGCAGTGAAACCTGTTAATAGGGTGCTGACAATTGACTACAAAATACACTTCGGTTCCTGTGAAGGCAGCCTCCCTGAAACATGTTTTTAACTGTTTTTCTCAAATGACTGCATTAGTGGTTGGGACTGCATCACTGCAATCTGTGAGTTTTGCTGCTGGTAGCAATGTCTCTGAGGAAACAGCAGTCGGTGGACATCTATATCTGTTTCCTGGTAAGGGTTTTTGACTTTCTGTCCTGTTGATAGATACAACTTACATGAAGTGTTTCATTACTTTTAAATAACTATGGTACTATCAAAATATACTGTTTGACAAAACCAATGGAAAAAACCCACCAAAAAACCCTAACAAAACTCACAAAACCAACCAACCAACCAACCAAAGCCAACACAGCTCCTATACAGTTCATCTCACTTAAAATCATCTCCAATAAGCCATTTGGTCACTGAAATGACACCTGCAACCTTCTCCCTTAGGATTTTAGTTAGCAGTTTTGAACATTTGGCCTGCTGTATTTAGCATATTCCTGCCTATGTGCTTGAGTTACAGTATCACCAAGTACAATGCAGGCTTTTTACTGTTTCTGATCAATCAACAGGGAGATTAAATATAATGAAGAACCACTGTTAACAACAAATTCATATTTTCATTGTCCACATGTACTTTGGAAAGGTAATTATGGTAATTTCTTCATATGCTGCAACAAAAAACATGGTACAGTTCAATAAATTAGTCCTAGACTCGTAACGACTTTTTTTTAATGTATCTCATTTTTAATGTAGGCATGGAAATGTTGGAAGGTACTTCAGAACTACACTGACAGATTTAAAATAGGTAATTTTTCCTGTGGTATCATTAAAAATTTCTTCCAAAATGGAAGGAGAGAAATAAATAATTGGAATCTATTAATTTTTGCAATCATTTTTCTTCCTTGTAAGTCTTTCAAATGAAACAGGAACTACAAGTGAATTCAAGTAGTACATCTAGATCAATCTTAGACTGAACCAGTGTTGATCCTACTGAACAACACAATGAGAAAAAGCTGAATATGCAATCAGTATACAGGGATGGGTGGAAGGAAGAGTCAGCTGTTTCTGATGAACAGTTTAATACTTTTTCTGAGATAAAACATCCTTGGTTTTCATCACAAAAAAAAAAAGCAAAGAGTGATTTAAGTAACTTCTGGTGCAAACACTAGGTTCCCCACACAGAAGGTCATCACACTTCATGCTGGAAATATTTTATCATTTGTGCAATTATAACCAATAATTGCCAGAGGATTAGCTTTGTTTCTTCTGGCTTAACAAAATAAATAAGCAATCTCTTCATACTATCTTCTATTCTGACAATCTGTAGCAATAAGACCTAATTAGGGAGGAAACAGGTACAGCAACTAGCAATACATCCAAAGATACAAACTACTGCAGTTAGACATTTTGCATGGGTTCTCCATTTCCAGTTCTGCGGTATGGCACATGTAATGGTTTTCTAAGGAGTGCTGTAATCTCAGACAACTTCTAGATGTAAAAGATAAAAAAAGGAAACAAACAGACCTGGCCTTTTGAGAACATCCCTTAAATAAAAAAGAAGACTAAGGCAACTGTTTATATCACTACATTATAATAAAGTCATGTAAGACATTCCCACATTCTTTGCATTCTACAGTCTACAGTCCAATGTTATACATGAAATAGCAGTCTGGGACCCATATTACACCCTGTAGTACACATCTCTTGCCATCTCCCAGGTCCCATATGTTAAAAAACAGATTCTCAGTCATGAACTGCCTGAATGGCTTCAAGAAACAGAGGCAGAGTCATAGTTTCACAGACAGACAGAAGCACAGTCATAGTTTCACCATTACAGGGTCTTTTTACTCTGACTTTCCCAGCGTAGTCTAGGGCCGTCTCATGCATGCCCTCAATTACCCCACCTGTTTGTGGTCTTCATCAGTCCCTTGAACATTACCTGGGCACAGAACCACTCAACACTCACCTGATCTGCCCTGCAGCATAAGACCTTGACAACAGGCTACCATTCTGTGATTCCACTCAGCTGAAGCTAAGGATTAGTCCAGATCCTTTAAAGGTACAGCCAGATCACAGCCGAGAATTTGGCCTTTGATTTTCCCCTGTCACCTGCACAGACACACTAACCATTTGCCCAGCCAGATGGATCTGTATAAACACTTTTAACAGTATATTTTCCACCTGTTCTGGTGAAAAGAACATTTATGATCATGACTTTTATCAGGTTTAACTATTCAATTTCTTTAATAATGTTGCCTGCCTGCATATTGCAATTTGAGATGTTAAGAAAAGCAGCTACCTATGCTGTAGTTTAAAAGAAACAAATAGATAATTATTAACTTTTTTTCCTTGGGATCAACCTACAAACTTTATTTTCTTATTTATGTCACAACAGTCCTTCAAAAAAAGAGTGTCTTTCATTCACTCAGAGATGTGCCATAGCCACACTCAAAGCACAGGAAATTATTTTTTTTGCTTAATTTGAAGCCACTTTTAAAACTGTGTGGAAAATTTAACATGACACAAACATTACATAAAGGGGGGTGGAATATGTGCTCAAAGGAAATCAGGAGTATAACTGAAAAAAGGGGGGCGGGGGATAAACCAAACAAAACAAAAAGCATCCAAAGAAAGAACAAAGAACTCAAATAAAAAGTTGAACACTGTGGACTTGGTCCTCATCTACCACAATGGATGTAATAAATCCACTCAAGCTGGTCAGCAAGGTCAAAGAAGAATCACACACTCATGATCACCTTACCAAACAAGAAAATCCAATTTTGAGAATTACATCAGATTTCAGATTTTACAAGGTTCATTCATTCTTATTTTGGAGTAAGAATTTCCCAGGTTGCAACATAAAATAATGCTTAGTAAAAATATACGGAGCTCTACAACTCCTTTGCAATAACTTTCCCGGAGTTGCACTCTCCCAGGCTGGACTCTCTTTTCTTTTTCCACTGTTCATTTTCTTCCCCCCATTCTGCCAATTTCAATCTAGCAGGGAAAGTCCTTTTCTAGCAAGCACTGTCAAAATATTCAGGACATGGACCTCGCATTCAGAGAATGCAATGCTGTGTCCAGACAGCAGTGCTGGCTGCCTCAGGGATTTGTAATAGCCAACATGCATACTCCTAGCAGTCAAGCTGTGTTCCACTGCACAGCTGTGCACCTCTGCCTCAGATTTTTTTTTGGGTGCACATTCCTCCCAAAGGCAAGTTCTGTGCAACCAGAGTAGTTTGTCTGAAGCGAGCGATGGTTTGTCGCTAGTTGAAGGGAAGAAGACACATTACTGTTACCCATTACTCTGGTAAGAGTTAACTAATTATCCCCAATACTCCAGCCTTTACAACGGGAAAGTAGCACACAGCTTTTATAAATAAGAATTACTGACCTTTTTTAATAGTTTCAAAAGAAGAAACTCTGCATCAAATGTGAGTATAATTTAGGAACTACTACATAGCAGCAAAACTACATTAGACTTTCCGATTTTTCCATGGTATCCTTGGATAGATACACCACCCAGTAGACCATGTTAAATGCTCCGAAGGTAACAGGAAATAAAATGCGTGCATATTTGTCTATCTTACTCGTGCCAGAGTGGGAGGCCGGGGGAGCAGGTGGCGTGACAGCAGATGGCTTTGCAGATGCTCCTAATGTATTAGGTGTGGTGGTCTGAATCTGCTCCAGTCTAGATCCAAGCAAGTGCTGAATGGAAGGGGATCCAGCTGTGGCATGCTGGGATACAAATCCAGTTAAAATTGGGGTAGAAGGAGGAGCTGGAGGGGTAGCTCTTGCAGAAGATAATGTCTCTGATGCATTGATGCGTGTGAAAGGGTTGGGACTTGATGCAGAAAGGGAGTGGGGTGTAATGTCAGAAGACCCCTGAGCTACAGAGGGAGGGTGGATGGAGCTGTGCCTTGTGTCAATTCGGTTCCCACCGTCAGCTTCAGATTGTACTGTGGCATTCGTTCTTTTCCTCACATTTGAATTGGCATCTGTACTCTGCAAAGTTACAAAAAAAATCCTAGAGTCATTCTTAAACACTCAAACAAAAGCAATGGAAACTACAATCAAGCACTTATCAAAATAATACAAATACAACCAGGAGCTTGGTCCAGAAGCACAAAGATACCATGTGCTTATGAAAATAGATTTAGTAACATCTAAAGTGACAAACAAGAGTTCCTTTTACCTGTGGCTGACTACCAGTTTGTCAGCAGCTTAATGTGATGTGGTACCTATACAAACTTAATACCATGAGGTTAAGGATGCTCAAAACAAGATTCTCCAACATCTACCTATTTTTCTGATGATATAAAAACATTCTAGATGCAACTTACCAGCCATGATGGTTCATTTCTGCTTTATATCTCCAGAAAAGTAACTAGCATATGCTAGGAACTCTAGTTTGGCTTCTACAGTAGATGCTATTAAAATCTAAGTATTTACCAAACCAAGTTAACACATTGCTGCTCTTTCAGAAATAAAGCCAGTGTTTTTTCACATCAACCACAGGCAATAAATTCCCCAGGTGCAATTGAACCAGGGAACAAATCAGTCTTTCTTCAACTACTCTCCATTAGTTAACTAAGTGGTGAATTCTCCATTACTTGATGTCTTCAGGCAAGTCTGGATGTCTTTCTGAAAGATATACTTTAGCCAAATAGTACTTATTAGGCTAGATGAGAAACTGAAACACAGATAAGTACAGATGGGAAATCCATCAGAGTTTAATATTTTACTGACTTTTGGAAGTGGGACTTCTCTTCTGTGTTTAAGAGGAAGCCTAATATCTCCTGAACCTCCTTCAGGAAGAGTACCTGAAGAACAGAATTTTGAACCTTCAGCCCTTCACCTAAAATATAATATAAAACATATTAGATCTCAGATATGATATGTGAATATATTTCATTCAAAGACTAACTGCTTTCCAAAAGACAAAGACTTAATGGCAGATAAGGTACACATACTCAACAGCATCAGTACAGGACTTGATACACACAGGACCAAACAATCACTTGCTATGTATAAAAAGAATTATATGTTTTGCACCTCTCTGATGATACCATTCCCAAGCATTGCTCTGCACCACACCTACTGTGCCTACTGGCTCCCCTTCCCTTCAAGCCTTCCAGAGAACCCTGCCAAAGCTCACAGCACAAGTCAAAGGGAGAGAAAGTGGCCAGTGATCTCTCTTCCCTCCTTTATCCAACAGCAATTCTCTCCAGCCAAGCAACACAGCAGTAACAGAGAACAACTTAGGTGTTACTCAGGTGTAGCAAGAAGAACGACAACCATATCTGTCTGCTACATCAGTTGTGCTTAGCTGTCCTGCTCAAAGAAATAGAAATGGAGCTGAAAACAAATCTGAAAAAACAATTTAAAAATCAATAAAATCACTTGACATCTCCAGTACTCCCAGCATGCCCAGAATGCTGGTCCCAAATCCTGTTAATTGCAGTACAAATCTGTCACTGGCAATATTGCTGGCCTGAATTTATCTGACACTGCCACAGCTATATGCCAGTTCATGGCTGATGTATTTGCCAGCTCATGGTAGATATATTAAAGAATCCCTCTTAGGTGTTAGTTTTCCTTCCCACATACAAGTGTGTCCATCCCTTTTATTTACTTTACTGCATCTGCAAACCAAACATGGTTTGATCATGCCAGAGGTAGATAGGTGAGTGCACTAAAAAAGCCAAGGAATTGACCAAACATTGGGAAATGCAAGACTACAGTCTTTTTCAGAAGAGAATGATAATCTCTTCTCCTTTCAATCCAAAAGAATATTTCATTAGTCCATAAAACTTTAAAAAAATATTAAAAATGCTCAGTACAAGAGATCTAGAAAACTCCCATCCTATGCATACGCATACTTTACTGAGGAGGCAGGGGGCTGTACAATAGGACAGGAGGTTTGAATTCAGTCAGACCAATTCTGTCACGCAGCATGCAATATGCAAAAAAGCTTTTGAAGTATTTACTGTATTAAAAAGCATAGAGTTCATGCGTCGCATGCTATTTCTCAGGGGTCTTATCTTTAAAAGAACTGAAGTAGAGAAAGAAACATTAAGTATAAATCCTTCCTATGTAAAAAGTCCTGATGTAAGATGCCCTTTCTACTAGTACCAGAACAGAAAGTCCATTTTATTTGGCATGAAGATAGGACAACTAAAACAACCTCCTTATAGATGTTGTAAAATGTAGTAATTAACGCTGTATCCTTCCCTTGACAAGTGGATTCACATGCAATTGACCATGAATAATACAACGAATAATGCTGTTAGCATACTTCAGGATAGATCTACACAATTTATTGCTAAATACTGTGGCAGATTCATGGAGCAAGTTTGATGGTCAGCTTCCATGACAGAATGTATAGAACACCAAAAAAAACCATGCTACAACAAATCTATTGCCAAAAATCAATTCATGGATCATTTGCTTTTCCATTTAAGCTCAACTTTGATGGATACTGCTGTTTACTACAGCAGTAAAATGATGCACAAATATGAGTCAATCTAAACTCTTCAATATTTAACATGATTTGCACACCATAAACAGCTGCTCACATCATGTGGAAATTCTGAAACTTTCTCTAAGACTACATAAGCCTCAACTTGAGCCAAAAAAATAAAGTACTGGATTGTTTTGTATGTATTACCAGTTTTTGACAAGCAAGGCAATTTTGCACTTCAATGAAGTCAAGATTGCAAATTTAGCATGAACTGAAGTAGCGTGCAGCAGCTGAGCTGAGGTTCAAGGGAAGGGGATCATCAGCACAGCAATATGCAATACTGAACTGACAAACTTAGTCATCTTGTTACAGAACAAAGAGAGCTGCTAACAACCACACTGCGTATTTCCTATGATAAGGCCAACCTAGAAGCTGTAAAACAAACAAGAACATTATTTAAAAGTCATGCCAAGTCCTGGGGAGAATGCAGCAAGGATAAAAGTGCATCAGGAAACTTTAAGGCTGTATTTAAGAACGTAAGGAGTAAGGGCACTACAAGCTCTGAGAAATTCTTGTGTTGGTATACCACCATACAGTCAGGTCCTACATGCAATCAAGACCATCTTCCTATAGCCAGTCAGTGGTCTACACAGCAGCTTTAAATCACTCTCTGCAATTTTAAATTTCTTCATAATTTTTATGATGGATACATCCTGTTGAGATGTGAATCTAAAATAAGCAGCTCCTACTGCCTGAGATAACAGAGAATCAGCAGTATTCAGCATGGAAAATCCCCTTCATAAGCCCTCTGGTCACTAGGAGGAAGCACAGTTATCAACTCCTGATAAATAGGTACCCATTAAAACTAGAGCCATATAATATAATTCAGAGGTATTCTCCTAATCTGCCTCCGCACTCTTTGGAAAAAAGCTCAACAGTCATGGGGTTGGATATATAAACACTTCAGAAGACCTGTGTCAGCCTCAAGCCTATGACAGACCTTCACAGCGACACTGTGCAAGATCCCAGGGCAACTTTGGCATCGTGTGTTTGCTTAAACAGAGCTCACTGCTGCAGGTCAATCCATTTTCTAGATCCTTAGCAGACCTTTGACACATGGTATCACTAAAGTGGTATCTCTCTCTGGGACAGAGGCAGAACAATATTTCAAGCAGTAGCTTCTATTTTCTCGGGGATAAATGCACAGCAGAATTTACAAGTCACAACACCACCATCTGGCACCAGTTCTAGCAGGAGAGAGCTGACACTTCCACATCCAGCAAGCAGCTGTCAAAGGTGGGGAGAAATGCCCTGGGTAGGATCACAGCCTAAATTACATGCCTTTGCAGAAGCACTTACCCAACTGTACCTAGCACTTTCGGCTCTTTCCTTCAGCCAGAGAGCTAAGCCACTGTAAAAAGTAAAAAGACACACACAAAAGGACTCTTGTCCTCCTCTATTGTAACCCAGCAACCAGGATGGGAACATAGGTTTGGCTATAGGAGACCTCTTCTCAAATCTGCCCTGAATGTCATAGGGATATCAACACATGTCATTTTCCCACCAGGCCACTGAGTATTCCAGGACAAGTGGTTGTCCTTCCTTGTTATAAATGTTACATTGTCCACACTTCAATCTTCCCTTCATGTTGCAGTGCATGCACAGATATGCTGGCTCCAGAATCAATTGCCTCCTTCTCTCTGACCCCATACAGATTATTTAAAATAATAAGAGCAGATTCAACAGGAACTTAACATTGCAAGGAGTCCCTAGCAGACTGGTTACTGATATAATTCTCCAAGAATGAGATTTACACGTGGGATTTGTGGGAGGCTGTATCTAACAGAAATGCTGGCCATTGAGATTAAACAGGGCAGGTACTTTTCCACCAAAAATGCACAGCAACCACTTCAGAAGCAGCAAGTCAGTTCTGTGCATGCCTACCCAGGGAAATTTAGTAATTAAGCCTTTTAGGTGCCTAATCACCATTTTGCATAGTTAGTGTCCCTAAGTAAAAAAAAAAAAAATTAAATCCAAAGACAAAGCAAACCAATCAAAAGTAAAAAAAAACTAAACACCCCAAATCCTGAAAAGGGCACCACAGTCAAAGCAGTTTTAAAATGGTACAGCATTTTAGCTGCTTATTAGAATAATCAAGCATGTAACAAGAAGTGTTAGTATAATGAAATTAAAAGTGAATAGTCAATAAACATCTTTATACTTTGCTGTTAATTTTGCAAGAATACGATTAGTGCCTGCCATGACAACACTATCAAACCTTCAATGAGACACAGGTAAATTAATATATAGGAAACTCAGTGATGTGCTGTATGAGAGCATAGGTTTGCCAAATTGGAAATCTCACTTCATTCAAACAAAAACTCATGCAAAAATTGGAAGGCTTAAAGCAACCGAAAGTCTGTCATTAGTTACTGTTTAGTTTCAACATCAAAGTTGTTTGTGTGGTAATTTAGTAATATTTTCCTATTAAGCTCTACCATAGTGGTTTTTATCCTTACCAATCCTTCCTAAGAAAACAGTC